AGAATTGCGTTGATTTCCTCTTAATCGAAATTTTAGAATTATGTTGATCACTTCCTGATAGAATTTCTAAAATCAGATTTTATAGATGAACCACCGTTAGCCATTTGGTGCATCGCCGCCGCGAAACAACATTCTTGTTGTTATAGATTGTTTCGATTTCGGATTGATCAGGAAGTGTAAAGAAAAGAAAGGTAGGAAGATTTGATAATTTGATCTATATGAAGATTTAGATAATTTGATGCTTCAAATTTAAAGCAGTTGTTAGTTGTTTTGTTAAAAGTTGTTTTGTTTTGATTGTGTGATGCAGTATTTGTTTACATATTTACTAAATATTGAAGCATCATACAAATTATAAATTTGATTATTAGTGTTGATAAGAATTTTTAAAATATGGAAGAATTAACTANAAAAATGTAAAAAAAAATATGCAAGAAAATTTTAGCATATATTTTGAAAAGAGGTGAGGAGGGGGCGAAGGAGGGGAGGGCCCAAAAACGCCTATGCCTAGGGCCTACGAAAGGTATAATCCGGCTCTGTGCCTAGGGCCTACGAAAGGTATAATCCGGTCCTGATCCTAACATATGCCTCAGAAACTTGGACAACAACACAGAAAGATGAGAATTCCTTGGGAATCTTCGAACGTCGGATCCTAAAATCCATTTTTGGGGGCAAACAAGTTGATGGTACTTGGTACAGACGTTCAAACTCGGAACTCTATCGGGCCCTTAGAGAGCCTGATGTTCTCAAGTATGTAAAAATCCAAATAATTAAATGGGCTGGTCACATCATTCGAATGAACAGAGAGCGTTCGACAAACATAATCTTTTCGGCTCAGCCCATCGGATCAAGGCCCAGAGGTCGACCAAAGCTGAGATGGGCCGACTGCGTGGAAAGAGACTTTTCAGTCTTAAAAGTCTCAAACTGGAAGACAACTGCCAGGCGGAGGCAGGCCTGGAGGAAGTTGATTGAGAAGGCCAGGGCCCACCCGGGGCTGTCGTGCCATGGAGGAAGGAAGGAAGGATTGGAATTTTATTTGCAAACATGTACCGCTATGATTAAGTCATCATTAAAGGAAGAAACTTCACCTGTTAGAATATTATTAGATAATGGATCCATGCGAACATTCCTTTTAGAAGAAGTTTCAAAAAGATTAAAACTTCCCATTGTAAGATCGGAAACTTTATCTGTTTATACCTTCGGAGCTGATGGAGCTCAAGAGAAAATTTATGATGTTGTTAAAATTAGATTAGCTAATAGGGATCAACTTTCTTTAAATATTGAACTTGAAGCTCTAGTCACGATTAAAGTTTTTATGATTATATTTAATTAGTTTTCGATTTGTAAACATAGTTTATTAAGTTGCCTAACATTTGCTGTAACTACACACCCCATTAATAAATATAAATTATAATTTTTTTCATAAATTAAGCTATTGAATTAACATTTTGAACTGAAATTACTTCAGGAATCATTCATGCAATTTTTAACAAAATTTTGGTTGCCCTCCATATAGCAGAATTACTTATCCTAGAGTCATGTTAAATCATATTTCACACATTACTCTACAAAATTCTGTTTAAAGGACAAAAAACTTCTAACCAGTGAAGAAACAGGCATGTTCCTTCACTGGAAGTATTCCCAGTGAAGGAACATGCCTGTTTCTTCACTGGTTAGAAGTTTTTTTGTCTTTTAAACAGAATTTTGATCAAGAACATTCCAACAATACTATAGCCACGGAAGTTTTGAATCGGAAAAAAAACAATAATGTTAAACTTCCTAAATTATCGATAGAAAAATATTATGGGGATCCGAGTGTTAGGATAGAATTCTGGAATCAATTTCAAAGTACAATTGATAAAAATGAAACATTATCTGTAATAGACAAATTCTCGTATTTAAAATCACTTTTAGGAGGTGCTGCAGCTAATGTTGTTAATGGGTTTTCGCTTTCTGAGGAAAATTATGTAAAAGCTGTTAAACTATTAAAAGAAAGATTCGGTAGAGATGAATTAGTTATAAATGCTCATATGAACAAATTGTTAAATCTCTATCCTGTTAAAGATGCTAATAATGTTTTAGGATTAAGAAAATTATATGACACTTGTGAAGTACAAATTCGAAGTTTGGACTCTTTAAAAGTAACTTCCGGAATGTATGGACATTTATTGTACCCCATTTTGATTAAATTAATTCCTGAAGAATTAGCTTTAAGCTTTAACCGTAGAAAATTAGATAAAGCAAATCTAAGTGATTTTGATGTAATGGAACTGATAAATTTTCTAAAAATTGAAATAGAATGCAGGGAAACTGTTTCATTCCAAAACTCGAGGGTAGATAGAAAGAGAAACTTCATTAATCATAATACTGTCGCAAAACAACAATTTGGCAATTAGCGTGAGTCACCTCGAAATCAAAATCGCCCTTTCAATTCAAATGTAAACAAAACAGTAGAATATGTAGCTCCTGTCACAGAAAGTAATTGTATCTTTTGTAAAGAAACTCATAGTTCGGAACACTGCAACAATGTAAATATTGATGAAAAAAAGGATTTGTTAAGAAAACAAGCTCGTTGCTTTTTGTGCCTACAAAAAAATCATAGAATTAGAGACTGTAAGAAAAGGACATTTTGCGATATTTGTAACCATAAGCACAATAGAACAATTTGCTATCAATTTGGTAAAGCTGGAGATAAAAACGAAACTAAAATTGTTACTGCTATTTCGCAATGCCATGAAGTTTATAAAACTGATTCGTTGATTAAATCCACTATTGGAATTTATTTGCAAACATGTACCGCATGATTAAGTCATCATTAAATGAAGAAACTTCACCTGTTAGAATATTATTAGATAATGGATCCATGCGAACATTCGTTTTAGAAGAAGTTTCAAAAAGATTAAAACTTCCCATTGTAAGATCGGAAACCTTATCTGTTTATGCCTTCTGAGCTGATGGAGCTCAAGAGAAAATTTATNAATTTTTCTGTTTTAAAATAATGATGCTTTATAATTAGTTGATTCCATGGGATAATTATGCTGCGAGCTAATATAGGATAAGTACCCCATTTTTTTTAAATGATGCTCTTTAAACACAATAATTTTTAATTGCAAAATAGCCTTAGCATTTATAATATACATAACAATTTAATTACCGCGGTATATCATAATATCGTGATATGAAGCTCACAATATACCACAATATCGAAATTCTGACATTGCCCAGCCCTATCAGGGACAAGGAAGCATTCATAAAGATCTATGTAGCTTCAAAATTATCGTCGAAGAAAAATCCATCTCCGATCAACTAAGAGAATTTTGGGAGCTGGAAAACTCAGGGATTAATGTGGACACAGAAACTAAAGTTGACAAGAGTTCTGTTTGGTGTGACATCTCCTTTTCTACTTAATGCCACCATAAAACATCACTTGAAGAGGTATGTACAGAAATTTCCTCATACTGTTCAACTGTTAAATAAATCGTTGTATGTTGATTATTGCCTCATAGGCGAAGATGAGGTAGAAAGTGCTCTGACTACTTGTTTAGAGAGTTATGAAATTTTTAAAGATGCTAGCATGTGTTTGAGAAAATGGAAAACAAATTGCCCAGAACTGTTTCACAAGTTGAAAGAACATAAATTAGAAGTAGATGACATAACTGATTCTTTTGATCAAACTTTAATACCTTCAAAGGTCCTGGGAGTTGCATGGAATCCCAAGGAAGACTATTTTTACTTTGATACTCGAAATGTTGAATTATTCCTTAAGAAAAATAAGGGGACTAAAAGATATATTTTACAAATTGCAGGTCGCATATTTGATCCTATTGGATACATTGGGCCATTTACTATTCGTATCAAATGCCTGATACAAGAAATATGGTGTTTAGGCTTAGATTGGGATGAGGTTGTACCAAATAAAACCATTGAGGCATTTAATAAATGGTGTGATGATTTAAAGAAATTGAGTTACATTCGATTACCGCGTTACTATTTCTCACATGCATTACCTAAACATATAGACAATATCCAGTTACACCTATTTTCAGATGCTTCCATCAAAGCTTATGGAACGGTTGCCTATCTAAGAGTAAAGCTAAACGATGGAAACATCATAACTAGTTTTGTTGCCTCTAAAGGACGAGTTTCGCCGTTAAAGATGCTCTCTTTACCTAGATTAGAACTTATGGGAGCACTTTTATCTGCTAGACTGAGTGAAAAAATCATAGAAGGTTTGGAATTTCCAGTTGAGCGAATTTTTTGGACTGATTCGTCTATTACGTACTTTTGGATAAGAGGTTCACCAGATAGGTTTAAAATTTTCATAAAGAACAGAATTCAGGAAATTCACAAACACAGTAATCCTTCAGAATGGTTTCACTGTCCTGGAACGGATAATCCAGCTGATTTAATATCACGTGGACTTTCGGTTTCAGAATTAGAAAACAGCGACTTTTGGTGGCAGGGTCCACTGTGGCTGAAAGAAGATGAATCGTCGTGGCCAAAATCTTTAGAAACACACAAAGAACTTATTGCAAATCCAGAGACACTAGAAATTCGGAAAGTTTTAACTTTAAACACAAACGTCGCAGAGAGAAACGAAAACATCAACAATTTCCTTAATCGATACTCCTCTTTCACTAGGTTGGTTAGAATTACAGCTTATTGCTTAAGATTTCTTAAAAACTGTAAAGATACAAATAGAAAAAGGGATAATTTAAGTACATTCGAGCTACAAAATGCTACACAGGTGTTAGTAAAATGTGTGCAATCTATAGAGTTTAGCTCTGAGATTAAATGCCTAAAAAACAAACAGCCAATTCCTCAAAATAGCAAAATCATATCATTGAATGTGTTTATGGACGACAATGGACTTATGAGAGTTGGTGGTCGCTTGAAATTCTCCGAGTTAACAGAATCACAAAAATATCAAATGCTTTTACCGAAATCTCATCACCTTACACAATTAATCATCGAACACTTTCATAACAAATCATTACACTCGGGAGTTCAGACAACACTTTATTTGATTAGACAATTTTACTGGATACCTTCTGGACAAGATAGAGTCCGAAGATTCATACATAAATGCTTGACTTGTTTCAAGACTAAGACACAAACTATTAATCAAAAGATGGGTAACTTGCCCAAAGATCGGATTGTACCATCACGACCCTTTGATAAAGTTGGTTTAGACTTTGCTGGTCCCATATTAACAAAACCTAATTTGAAGAGATCTAAGGTTGTAATTAAATCTTACATCGCTATATTTATTTGCTTCAGTACTAAGGCTACTCACTTCGAGGTTGTCTCAGACTTGACAACAGATGTTTTTTTAGCTTGTTTGAGAAGATTCATTTCGAGACGTTCAAAACCGTCGATTATTTGGAGTGATAACTTCATTTTGGAGTGATTTGGAGAGACTAACTTCAAAGGTGCAAGAAATGTTTTGAACTCAATGCTTGAACTTTGCCAGTCAAACTCTGTGAAGAACTTTAGTGCTGAAGAGGGAATTCAGTGGCATTTCACACCGACTGCGTCTCCTAACCGCCTGCGTCTGTGGGAAGCTAATATTAAATCCATGAAGAGAATACTCTTGAAAGTCACAAAATCTAACTTACTAAATTTTGAAGAACTAACTACGCTCGTTGTGCAGATAGAAAGTATTCTCAACTCACGCCCACTTTCGCCCATGTCATCAGACCCTAACGATCTGCAGCCGTTGACACAAGGACACTTTCTAGTTGGAGCTCCGATTATGTCATTTCCTGAACATCATACTGCTCCAGATTCTTTTTCTCTTTCTTCTAGGTGGAGCCTGATTCAACGTCTGAAAGACAGCGTTTGGAATAGATGGAGCCATGAATACCTGAGTCAACTACAAACACGTTCGAAATGGACTTGACAACAAGAAAATCTGAAAGTTGATCAACTAGTCCTTCTTAAAGATCCTAGTAAGACAGCAATGCAGTGGAATCTGGCTAGAATTGTGAAAACTTATCCTGGAGAAGACAATCTTGTCAGAGTGGTTGACGTCAAAACAACTAGAGGAACTTTTCGCCGAGCCGTCTCTAACATACTTCCACTACCGGATGATGTTGGACTAACATCCAACGGGGGCGGGATGTTCCCGTCAAGTAACAATTTTCTTCTTACGTAGAAGTAACGACGCGCATGCGCACTGCTAAAAACAAAAAAAGAACTGAATATTAATATATTTCCTCTTAATCGAATTTTTAGATTTATTTTGATCTCTTCCTGATAGAAATTCTAAAATCAGATTTTATAGATGAACTACCGTTAGCAATACCATTTATCAGGTAGCAGTTTTATTGTTTAATTTTTATTCCATCTTCAGCTGATGCTTGTTTTTTTTTTAAATTACGGATAATGTTGCAGGTTTATTCATTATTTGTAGGTTTGATTGCTTCTAGGATAGGATGTTCTTAAGGAAAACTGTTTACTTCTTCTGTGATTTAATTATGATGATTTTAATCTGAGTTTGGATTTGGTGAAAACTGGTTTAGGAGGGAGTCTGCAATAATTTGAGCTTTATCTTCTATTGCGTGTGCTGTGCCAAATAGTTCATTGATTGGTCTGTTTATCAGTGGTACAGTCTTGAATATTTTGGCTATTTTCCAAATAGATTTGTCGGTGGTACAGATAGAGGCGATTTAGTTTTGCCAGAGTTGCTTTTTGCATTTTTTGCTTTGTATTTTTATCTGTTTATTGAGTTGTTTTATTTCATTAAGGTAAGCTGGATCCGAGGTTCTTTGATGCCACATTCTATAATAATTTCTTAGTCTGATGATATTTTTAATCTTTGGAGGTAGTCGGTAATGATGTGCAATATGATCTGTTTGTATTGAGGCAATTTTGTGGGCTTCTATGATTTCAGATTGTAGCTGCTGGTTATATATATCTATTGTAGTTTCATCTTCTAGGGTTGGCTGGCTTCTATTGTTAATAATGAGTATACTTCTGTAGAGGTTCCAGTCTTATTTAAATTTTGATTTTTCGGAATGTTTGGTTGTCAGCCCAACGATCAGTTGGGCATTCAGGTGACCATGGAGCCTTCCATATTTGGTATGGAACCTGCGTCCGTTGAACTTAAACTGTATAAAATATCCGGGCATCTGAGGCGGCTTGCGGTCCTTTTCCCATTCATCTTGAGCTTCATCTGTGTGGTGCTTCGTTGAGGATGTGGAATGCAAATGAAGTATTCATGTGGATCATTGAGTTTCTGACTGAGTAATTATATGCAGTAGGGTGTAAGATTATATTGGAAAACTGGTGAAGGATATGTAACCTGTGTCCTTCCAAGGCTGAAAGTCTATATATATCACGAGGGAAAAGAGTAAAAATTTTAAAAAAAATAATTTTCATTTTCAGCTGTTGTTTCGGGAATAATAAAATATTCATAACTACCTACTTTTTTTAAATGATACAAGCTATATTTTGAATGGCTTCTTTCTCGAGAAAAAATTAATAGCAATGAGTTGTTTAGTGTTAAGAATAGATTTACCCCTCTCAGGAAATTATGTATTATTGAAATAGTTCTACTACTAGTGTTTTCTATTTTCAGTCTCGCTTTCGCACCTATGTCTGCCATCAAAGACACATTTTCCAGTGAACTTAAACATTCAAAACAAAGTACTTACTGTGACTTATTGAAAAGTTAATTAACATTAGTAATAATTATACAAAAACAGTGCTTGTTGTAAGCTATCTTTTCAGATTCGTCAACAATCTAAAAAGTCCAACTGAAAAACGCTTATCAATTTTGAATTCAAGGAAATTCAACAAAGTGAATTATTCATAATAAAAGAAATTCAAAAACAAAAATCTCCAGAATAGGTATGGAGTTAAAGTCGCGAGAAAAATCTTCCTGATAAAAGTAAATAAAATGTTTAAATCATATTTTTTTTGACAGAGATGGAGTACTTAGAGTCAAATATAGAATAGGACATGCTAATGTCATTTTTATCAGTGAATTCTCAATTATTCTACCTAAGATTCATCAATTCAATAAGCTAAATTTAAAATCCTACCATAAACGATATTTCTACTTAGGTCCAACTGCTTTACTACATTACGTCAGACGAAAATTTTGGCAAGAGTAAAGCAATGTGTAGGAAAGTTGTGCATGATAGTGTAAAAAGTGTTAAACTCATAGGAGTTGAAAAATTAATGTGTAATTTGCCTAGAGAAAGAGGGGGGGCAGGGAGAGAGAGGGAGAGACATGTTTTCCCATTTAATTGCCAGAGTAGAGGAGGAATATAGTTCGTCTAAAATTAGAACTCCTCCAGACATTCGCCTGTACCTGTGGCGGTGACTATGGTAACAAGGTGTGACTATTTTAAGTTGGGATGGGGGTCACTGTTTTGAAGTGGTTTCGGCTTGGATTGGTTTAGATTACGGGAATCTCTTTCTTCTGTCTATTGTGTCAGTACCACTTTGCTTTCTAAATCCAGTTGGAAATCCAGTTGACCTATGACGTAGGTGCCTGTTGATCGCTAGTGAGGAAAATGACCTGTTAACCCTTTAATGGGCCCTTTTTATCCAGTAAAAGTAAATTAAAGTATTTTTGGAATTGAAAGTGTTTTAAGAACAGTAACTGATATTAAAAAAAACTAATTTAGTTTATAAAAATGCCATTTTTTTGGTGGTAAATATGTTTAACATGACCTATTAGGAACTTACTGTGTTTTATTTTTCTTTATTTATAAAATAAATTCCAAAAATGCTACAAACTTCAAAAGGAATTATGTATTGTATAACTTTTATACGTTTTTTAAAAGTGACAAATGGCTACCAATTTTATTCAAACTCACTTCAAGAAAGCTAAAGTTATTGGAAAATGGAAGCCTAAATTAAAAGTGGTAAAACATGGTGGTAAGTATACTTACCACGGCCTTCAAAAGGGTTAAATACTACTGTAGAGTCAAATTTAGTTGAGGTGAAAGGTAATCGATTATCTAACTGGAAAAGACTGAAGATAATGGTTACAGTTTTTTCGTGTGGAAGAAATAGCAAATACAGTATCTTAATAATTTGCAACAGTGGTCCAAGCGGATGGTAGAAAAAAGTATTGTAAAAATCATTGAGTTCGTACTTCTAAAAGATGAAAATCTGCAGCCTCAGAAATGGGCACTGGGTAGAATTATTGAACTTTATTTTGAAAAAGACAAACGAGTGAGAGCAGTTAAAGTAAAATACAAATCTGAAATTTATTAACTTTCTATATTTAAAATTGCATTTTACCTATTAATGAGTTATCTTGTAAAGAATGTTGTATTAATGAGTAATCTTGTAAAGTGTATTTTTTAATAAGTATCTTAATTTTATTTTTATATTATTATTGCTTTTTTTTTAATTGTGAATTAATCGTGACGCCCTCATGCGGTGAATATTGTGAAAATTCTGTGTTAAATTATAAAATGTTACGAGAGGTCGCATAGAGAGAGAGAGAGAGAGAGAGGGAGATATTGAGTAAACATGAGAAAAATAAAAGGTAATACAATGTGTGAACGTCATTAATTATTACGAGAGAGAGAAAAGCTTTAACTTGAATATTTTTCGCAGATGTTTGGGAGTCCAGAACATGGCCTTTTTTTTAAAAGATTAAGGTAGGTTAAGGAGTCGGTTATATATTAGGTCTGAAAAGGTTTCAAACGCGTTTTGCGTACATAATAATATAA